ATCATTTGTAAATCGCGTTTGACACATCTTCGCTTAAAGAAGCGACAAGAATATGGGTATATTTTTTGTGTACTAATATTCACCCAATAAAAATAAAAAAAAGCGCTTCAAGTTAGAGGGTTCATCACTGGTGTTGAGAGATCGACCGAAAAGGCAAGAGTTCATGGAGCTACGTAGGAAAGATAATGGTTACCCCTAGAATTGGAAAGGTCAAGATTGTAATAACAGAGAAGCATTTTAAGACGAAGCAGTAGGTCCTGTGAAAAGACTGTACGAATTGGTCATATGTCTCACTGTTGCAATAGACAGGTGAGAGATTCCTGAAAACAAACACAAAAAGGAAACTACAGGAACTCTACCTGAAGGCTGTGAAGGAAAGCTAGAAGAAAGGACTTAGTATAAATTCCAGGCAAGGTGGAGTAATGGATAGTGGCTCGGATTGAGGAATCGGAGAGCCGAGTTCGAATTCCAGTCAAATCCATTATATTCACTTATGTGCTAATACACTTGGGAAAGGTAAGAATCCTCCTCTTCTCCCCACCCCACTAGAGAATAATTTCTATAGCTTTGGCTGCCAACTGGTCTGCCGCAGAATGGAATGAAAACCTACAGCTGGGGAAAAATTGCCAGTCATGATCGCCTAAGCGTGTATCACGCATGACACCAATTTAGCAGATATGGATGTACGAGAGAAAATTATGGAGATTTGCTGTTTAAAAACAGCAAAATCGACCTTGCTAACCGAAACGCTCCTCTGTGGCTAAATTGGTAAAGCACGTCAGGCTATATGACGGTTCCGTGTAGTATACAGACTCGATTCTTGTTGGAGGACGCATATTTTTCTATGAAAATTTCTCGAACATTCAGGCCGGTAAATGTCGTTAATACTGTTTTTTATAAGCATAGTATTTACTTAAATATTTGTATCTATAAAAATCACGTATAAAACATAAAAAATAATATATATAAGACAAATTTCCTCTAAATATGTTTCGGAGAGAAACTATTCAGATATTTTCTTTTAAAGAACAGCGGTTAATTGATAATCACCTGATATATTAAATAGATTTTCACAGTCGCTAACACAATTAAATATAATAAATTATTATTGGCTGTATATTCAAATTATATTACGCATGTTCAAACATGAAGAATTAGAATTGTTCCTCAAATATTAAAGAATTGTCACTTTTTAGTAGATATAATCAAAATCCGTGACATCAAAATCCATGACATCAAAATGTACAGTGCGTGGTAAAGCTTAAAATGGGGAAATGGAACTCTTTAGACTAGGAAACCATGCACAATTCTAAACCCCTGTTTTTCTGTGACCATACACAATCATGTCAAAAGTTTCGGGAGAAAACCCTGAAGGAATTATTTGGAGACAGGGTACGAAAAACAGACCGAGGTTAAATCTAAATATTTTTTAATTATTTTACCACACGCAAGACAATAAAGCCACTAAGACGCAAGAAAGTTGTATAGAAAGACGACCGACTTTCTCTACATTAACTGCTGAACGTGGATTCGTCCATCCGCTCTACGTGGAACGTCTGCTCATAGGAAGTTGGTTGGACGGCGTAGCGTTTGAGTTGTACGCACTTCCACACTAAATTAGAATATCCTGTATTATTAATCCATGTCTCTCAAGAGATCCATGTTTTTGATACAACCTTTTGAGTCAGCGTTTCCTTACAGTATCACTAATCAAATCTAAAAGAATTATACGAACATTATAGAAAAGCGATTACTGAGTGTTAGAGAATATGAGAAAAATCACTATTAAAGAAAGAGCATAAAAAAAACAGCCTTATGTCTTACGACAGCACAAGCTTTTCTTCATCTGTAATGAGATCATCCATCATTATCAGCCTTGTAAGAGAACCGAAAACATAACCATTGAAAAATATTTTCTTTGTTTCTAACGACATTGCAAACAAATGTGATGTTATCCGCCATTGATAGACATACAAGAGGATCGATATTATATAAGAATTGAAGAAGGTTTTATTTGTTTCTAATGAAATTTTCCTGTTTCTTTATACTCTGCTTAGTTTTTGGAAAGCACCATTCATTATTCCAGTCATGTATGATGAGATTGACCACCATTCACAGTCATATAGGAAAACATATATGACATAAGAGTTGAAGAATCTTTTGTCTTTCTAACGAAATTTTCCTGTTTCTTAATACTCGGCTTAGTTTTTGAAAAGCATCATTTGTTATTCCAATCATGTATGATGAGATTGTCGACCATTCACAGCCATATAGGAAGACCGATATTACGTAAACTTAGGGTAATAATTTATTTGTTTCTAACGAAATTTTCCTGTTTTTTAATACTTTGCTTAACTTTCGGAGAGCATTATTCACTATTCCTATACGCCTTCGGATAATTGGATTTTCATGCCGCCTCTTATTACGCTGTCCCTACTTTGTAATTCGCTTCTGGGGCTGTTTATTTTGCTGGCAACCATGTTTTCTGTTTCCTTGCCACTGATCTTTAGTCCTTTCTTCACACTTTCTTTTCTTTAGGAGTTCCTGTAGTATTCTTTTTGTTTTTGCTATCAACACAGTGTCATCTGCATATCTTATATTGTTAGGAATGTGGCTGGTAAGACTGCTTCTTCTCACAGCATCATCTCACTCTAAAGGTCCAGTGAAAAGACATATTTTTGTCTAGGTATCCTTTCTATTTTTGTATGTATTTACTAAATACATTTTCTATCCGTATGCAACCGATTTTCTCCAAACGTAATTTCTGGGTTAGTATAAAATCGTTTCCAATTAAATAAAGCTCTCCTTGTACTTAAAATAGTTCATTGTCTCGAATGGGCAGCAAACCGGTTTCGACTTCCGTCCCAGTTCGTTGCATCCACTTAATGTAATGAATATGCACACACCTGGGTTCCACCTTACAGTAATATGATTGGCTGGTGTCAGCCATAAATACAGACTGATGTAGAGGTACATGGACTACGTCTATTGGCTAAGCCTATTGTCTTCGCCTATTGCCTACGCCTATTGCCTACCACTACGACGAGGACCAGTCCATTACGGTTACCTGCTAGATTGTACTACTCGGTTACAGTAGTCTAAAACCACTTTGCTACTTCGAACAAATATATCCCTTTCCGTGACATATCACCACTTTTGCCTTAAAATATTTTGGCAAATTTATAAATGAATATCTTCTCCTACATCTGTGTGTTGAATATTGGGTAAGACCTTCCTCACTGATCGGCAAAATATCTAGAAGAGGAGCAGCCCTGAATTTGTGGTAATGTTACCTTCATCTAGCGTGGTAATGTTACCTTCATCTAGAGTTCAGTCCGAAGTCGGGCGACCGGCTGATCGGTTGAGCTCTCTGCCTTCGGGCAGGGAGGAATCCTAACGAGGCTACGCCGAAGGGCGGAGTCTCTTTCGGGGAGGTAAACCTACCCTGAACCCGTTTATACGGGTTCAAAGGGCATATTTTTGGCCGAGCCCACGAGCTCGGAGATCCCACGTTAAACTGGCCTTGTGCCACACGATGCCCTCGTGGTGGGGGTGACTAAATACCGTTAGCCTGAAGTTGGGCGTCCGGCTGATCGGTTGAACTCTCTGCCTTCGGGCGGGGAGGAACCCGTACGAGGCTACGCCGAAGGGCGGAGTCTCTTTCGGGGAGGTAAACCGACCCTGAACCCGTTTATATGGGTTCAATGGGCATATTTTTGGCCGTGCCCACGGGCTCGGAGATCCCACGTTAAACTGGCCTTCTGCCACATGATGGCCTCGTGGGGGGGGTGACTAAATACCGTTACCTTCATCTAGCTAACGTCTTCCATTTATGGGAGGTATTTCTAGCAGTTATATAAAGGAGGTATTTCTGCCGTGCCCTCTATTAGAGAAACGTACAGAATTATAGAACAAGACGACATAAATTAGTGACAATGGTACCTTCGTCTACCTAATGTATTATTTCTGGGAGGTTTATGTCGGATATCTTTCTGTCGCACCATTTACAATACGCTAGACGAATCGGTCTAAATAGATATTAATGTTACATAATAGGATCCTTTATGTTGCAAAATGAGCTAATTTTTATCGATAATAACCCAAGCTCTTAAATTCTATCTTCTAGACTTTTCCATTATATTGAGTCAAGAAGAAGAAATCAGACCATTTGCAAACTGATGTTTACCGTTACCTGTCGTGTCTGCCACACTTTTTTTTTATTTTATTTTTAGATGTACACTATGGTATTTCTCTAGAATGGGCCTAGCTGCAGTAAACACGACAAACATATCATTCAAAAGCGGTTTTCGAAGAAAACGTGACAGATGATTGGATTACATTTCGGATGAATGACTTGATTTAATTGTTCATTTGAACGTTACATATACGCCTGACATGAAAACAGTTCTACAACGATTACTTAAATTTTGGTGCGACAAAATCAATATTGATAACCATGCAAAAGAAAACTGCTGAGGAAAGTGATATTTGATAAGGTCACAAACATGAACGAATATTTTAATAATATATTTCGAATAATTTAAACTGTACAGTGATATGTGGGCAAATCAATAATCCAGCAAACTGTTTTTGAAAAAAAAATAACACGTTTTGCACAAAGAACCTGGGCCCGATTCTTGGCAATTCAATTTATTAAATAATAAACATCGAGAATAATTTTCATATACAGTGATATGTAGGTAAATCAATAATTCCGTAGCCTGTTGCTGTAAGAAAATATATTTTATGCAAGAAACTTTTATATTTCGATTTGGTTTCCATCGTTGCAAATGCACTTAATAAAGTAGTAATTTAGGAATAATTAAAAGTAATAAACTTAAATTTATGATGTTAAGGGCAGCACTTGATTGACGGAAGGTCTCACCGTTCTAGAGATAAAATGGCTAGATGTAAACATATGTTCTACGTTAATAGTTTCTTTTCAAACGCACGTATAAGAGGGAGGGACTGTGGAAGAGCGACCTCACGGTAGACATCGGATGTGGGATAAGTTTTGTTCTTTGTCCGTATTTATACGTATGGATGACCAGCATTGAACCTACTTAGGGAGGTATGTAGATACGATACAGCTATCTGTCTATCTATCTTCGCAGTCTATCTATCTATCTATCTATCTATCTATCTTCGCAGAGTAACTATCTATCTATCTATCTATCTATCTATCTATCTATCTATCTATCTATCTTCGCAGGGTATTTAGCTATTTATCTATCTTCGCAGAGTATCTAACTATCTATGTATCTATCTTCACAAATTATTCATATCGAACTTCCCTGTGTATTCATATCTATGTAGGTCTGTTCATATCTATCTATCTATCTATCTATCTATCTATCTATCTATCTATCTATCTTCTCAGTGTATCTATCTATCTATCTATCTATCTATCTATCTATCTATCTATCTTGGCAGGGTATCTATCTATTTATATATCTTCGCAGTGTATCTACCTATCTATGTATCTATCTATCTTCACAAATTATTCATATCTAACTTCACAGTGTATTCATATCTATCTCAGTCTGTTAATATCTATCTATCTATCTATCTATCTATCTATCTATCTTCACCGCGTTTTCATCTATCTATCTATCTATCTATCTATCTTCACCGCGTTTTCATCTATCTATCTATCTATCTATCTATCTATCTATCTATCTTCACCGCGTTTTCATCTATCTATCTATCTATCTATCTATCTTCTCAGTGTATCTATCTACCTATCTATCTATCTATCTATCTTCGCAGGGTATCTATCTGCTCATCTATCTTCGCAGTGTATCTATCTATCTATCTATCTATCTATCTTCACAAATTATTCATATCTAACTTCACAGTGTATTTATATCTATCTCAGTCGGTTCATATCTATCTATCTATCTATCTATCTATCTATCTATCTATCTTCACCGCGTTTTCATCTATCTATCTATCTATCTATCTATCTATCTATCTATCTATCTATCTATCTATCTAACAGTTTCTTCTCTCGCACTTCTTGCTTGTCGGACTCTCTTCAGTTTCTTTGCTTTTCAGTCAACATTGATTTTCGAAAATCTAACTGGAATTTTTAATCGTTCTCTTTTGTCTTCTCCATTCCTTTTATCGTTCGTTCACCTTAATAGTTTTTTTTTTGTATTTTTTTACACTCAGTAACCGCTTGCGTCTTAGTGACTTTATTGCCTTGCTTTCAGTGATATGATTAAAAAATATTTCAAGCAATTTATCCTGATTCATATATTGCAATATGTAGGTATATTAGTATTTCTGTGGCCTGTTTTAGACATGAAACATGGCTCCAATTCTAGTCAGTCGCTTTATTTAATTGTAAATATTTCGAATAATTTCCATTTAGAATGATTAGTTGGTAAATCAATAATTCCGTACCATGTTGCTCTCATTATTATTATTATTATCATTTATTTTACCCAAGAAACATTTATTCTTACACTTAGCTTAAATCCTTGTCAAGGTACTTTAGTCAATCGTAAATATTTCTAATAATTTCTACTGATTTCTAAACATTGATATGATGGTTAATAAATATTTCGAGAGTCACTTGCTGAAAATACAAAAAACAAAAAAAATGTCTATTTTTACACAAGAAACGTTTATTCTTCGCTTTGGCGTCCATTCTTTTCAGGGCACTTATCTCTATCTATAAGACAGGATCTGTCTGTGTGTGTGTGTGTGTGTGTGTGTGTGTGTGTGTGTGTGTGTGTGTGTGTGTGTGTGTGTGTGTGTGTGTGTGTGTGTGTGTGTGTGTGTGTGTGTGTGTGTGTGTGTGTGTGTGTAACGAATGCACGGCCGGAATTTTCGACGGATTTGCACCAAAATTTACATGCACATGCTCCAGGTTAGCGGGAAGGCCAAGACCGATTTTGCATTTCCCAACTCCCATCGATAGTGGAAATAATCGATTTTTCATTCTAATACGGCAGTTTTCATGTAGTTTGCAGCCATTTTCTACTAGCCAGAGTGAGAGCCTATAGCTGGCTGCCACGAATAGGCAAGAAGATTCTATTGGCCAGCGTGAGAGCTAACAGCTGACTGACACGAATATTAACTAGCATGCTAGCATGCAAAAAAATATCGATAGCTGCGTTCGTCACATGTGAGAAAAATTTAAATCTGCATGGCACTTTACTCCAATTGGCTCATTCGCTTGCTTAAACTCAACGTTGATTCTGATTCCGCAGAACTGGGTTGGGTGTGAAAAAGTATTTGTTGTTAACATTCTTTTTTTCATTCGGTTTTTCCAGTTACGAGTTCTTTTTTAAAGCTGATCGTTTTGTGTTCATTTTGTTTAGTTCTTTTTTCTTAACAGATTTAATGTTTAGTATAGAGCTTAGAAAAAATTCGCAGTGTGAGATAGGAAAGAAGTAAGGAATATAGCAACATCATCACGGCAAAAGGCACTCCTTTAAAGGCAAGGAAGGGCAAAAATATTTTAAGTCAAGTGATAGCGATTGCTGTATGAGTCGTACGATTTTTGAATCATCACGGGCAACGCTGGGCTATGATGCTAGTCAATAACTAAAACACTTTCCCGTCATTTCCATATAAGGAAATGTAAATAAATCAAAAATTCCACAGCACTCTGTTCAAAATCTATTTTATTTTGCAAATGAAGTATTTATTATTAAGCCTGGCCACCATCCTTGTCAATGCACTTATACACGTTACGAATCCGTTAGTAAATCATGCTTCTGGAAAACTACAGGTAGGACATCCATGACAGTAGTGTGTCTGTGGCAGAATTACCTAACGGATTTTTAACCTGTTTCAGCTGATTTCTGTAGTTAAAATTTTCCTTCTTCTAGACTAGTTGTCTCACCTCAAGGAAACAAAGCCCTGGCAGTTATATTCTTCAAACACTAGCTGAGTGGGGTAAAAGTTGGATTCCTACCTTTCCAAAGAGTATTTGGATAAAAGTGAATACGAGCCATATTGTACTATGCCCATGTTTGAATTGCCCGTATCTAAGTTGTAAATGTTTCGTTTAATATCCATATATATCCAGCTATTTTGGCACCATGCTATGTAGGTAAATCAATAATTCTCTTTATGTTATGGGATCTTACCCATAATAATAATAATGGACTATTCCATACTTAATAAATACTGCGCCTCAGGAGTAGGCGGAGTCAGTAGTTCATGTAGAGTCAAGAGTCGAGTCAGAGGCAGTCCGAAACAGAGTCGCGTTTCAGACAATTACTGCAAGACATTGGAATAGTGATACTGGTCGAGACTACATTGTTCTCTCTACTAAACCTGATTGTTCATACTAACACTTTATACCTCTCTGTATATATTCCTGTTTGTAATATATCTGTGTTATTCCATATCCGCCTTCGAGTTCTTCTTTATTGGTTCTACCTTGGACTATCACCGTGGTACAAGGAACCGGACCATAACACTTTATAAAAACTTTTTTTTTTTCAAAAAGGAAATATTTTATTTTCTCACAATATCTGTTCCTGTCTATAATTGAATAAAAACAGTTTTAATAACGTAAAGAAAATATTATGAAATTACAATTTCATATATTTTGTGTAACTGCAAAATTGTCCAAATCGTGTATCAACATAATTGTCCATCCCACAAAATGTTTAGTATCTAAAAACCACTATACTAACTGAGTTTCCTTTTTCTAGGTTTTCATATAAGACGTTCAGCCATCTTGACACCATTTGTCGTAAGAATCACCGAAAAACCCTTTGAGTTATTCAGCTAGAAAGAGAACCAGTTAAAATCGTTTTATGTCAGGCTAACTCCCTTCCGAAATAAGCAATGGTGAGAGGGGAAAATATCATTAAGGCCTTCAGTGATTATATTCTGGCTGCCATCTTCAAAGTCCATCCAAGAACAATCAAGAGAACGGTGAATAAGTTTAAAAAAGAAGGGATAGTATAGAGCAAATTTGAATGAGGAGGACACAACAGGAAGAGATATCATCATTTTAAATTAAAGCTAAAAAGATCAATTAAAAAGAAAAACTCAATCCAAAAGACGTCTGGCATGTGAGAGAGGTGTTTCAGCTATGGCTGTCCAAAAAGTGCATTGAAAAAATGCTTGAAAATGAAATTGTACGTGAAACCTGTGAGGCAACTTGTTACTCCAAGACAGAAAGAAGGCTAGAGAGGACGAAGATCAAATTGAATAAAGATCCCGGAATAATCTATCTATCTATCTATCTATCTATCTATCTATCTAACTATCTATCTCTATCTCTCTCTCTCTCTCTCTCTCTCTATATATATATATATATATATATATATATATATATATATATATGTATGAATCGTAATACTTCGTTTTGAAAGACCTCGGTTGGATCAACTTGTAATATTACAAGTAGATGTCCGAGGGAAAACTGGAAATAAGAAAAGAAAGAACCAAGAACATAACGCTATACGAATCCTCTCGTCAAGTGCTTGAGCTCCAAGTCCCCCCCCCAAAAAAAAAACGAGTAAAGAGTAAACGTAATGTATACAATATATTAAGTAGAGCAAAATCTAAGATCCATTTAGGTGAAACCTAGGTAGGTTTGCATCTATCTATCTTTCTATCTATCTATCTATCTATCTATCTCTTTTATATATATATATATATATATATATATATATATATATATATATATATATATATATATATACTATATATATATAATATATATATATATATATATATATATATATATATATATATATATATATATATATATATATATATATGATTCTTCATGAGCTACCGATCCTTAACTATGATTTATTAATGACGGCCATGTCATTTTTGTTTATGATCGATTTCATCACGATTCTTCTGTTATGCTTAAATAATTATACATTCTTATTGCCCAAAGTTGAGTCCGATTGTGTTATAAAAAGAAAAAAAACAATGATTTCCAGTAAGATATCTTTAATCACTTTAAGATACACCGGTTCAAAGCTTAATCTGAGAAATGGACAAGTTTGCTGTTACACGATTTGGACAATTTTGGTATTGCACCCGACAAGGAAAGATGCTGAAAGTATATTGGACCGAACATGTCAATAATCACTCCTACTTAAATCCAGAAAGAAAGAAATAAAATGAGGAAAGGGGTCTCAAAATTTTTGACAAAAACTGGATATAGAGAAGTCAAAACGATCACAGAATTTTATTTATTTATTTTTTAAGCCTTTCACCCCAAGCAAGGCGGGAAGCCACTAGGACGCAAGGGGTTACAGAAGATTTGGAGCAAGATCAGATAGGAGTGATATAGGAAAGGATGAGGAAAAGGGTAGTGGATAGATCAAGGCAACTGGAGATGTCGATTTACATTACATTTGAATAGCTGGAGATTACAGCTCTCAGGGAAACTGGAATAGCGAAGGGAGTTCCACAGGCGAGAGGTGCGAGACATGAAGCTATTGGAGTAGAAGAGACGGCTACATTTAGGAGTTTCGACAGTGAAGGGGTGAGAGTGGGATGCCAGCCTCGTAGGGCGCTGGAACTCATGACGTCTGGGAACCAGCAAATGCAGCTCCTCGGAGCAATTGCCATGAAAGTATTCGTAAAACAGACACACAGAGGCGACGGCGCGACTGTGAGAAAGTGACTGTAGACGAGATGCCAGAACAGGGCCAATTATATTGCATATCCGCCTCTGGAGCCTATCAAGAACCCCGAGGCAAACAGAAGAGGCTCCAGACCATATATGACAGCAATACTCCATGCAAGGGCGAATTGTTGATTTGTAGATCTGGAGGATCGATTCGGGGAGAAAAATTTCCTTGCGCGGCACAGGGAGCCAACATTCCTTGCGGTTGACGAAGCAATTGACTGAATGTATTTGTTCCATCTCAGGTCAGCCGTCAACGTGAGACCGACCAGCCGCAGAGAGGTGCTCTCGAGAAGTTGAGCGTCAGACATTCTAATGGAGGGTAGGGAAGGATCTCTGTGGTGATTAATATAGATGCAGGAAATAACCAGCTTAACGTGTTTGTGTAAATCGTTGGCACAACCGGGTGTTAGACGGTATAGCGAACAAAAACAAAGAAGAGGAAATAATGGAGAGCCATGACCATGAAGAGAAACTGCACATTGAATAACCAGAAATCTGTTTTAATCCCAGCACATCCCTGAATATATAATGAACTTTTCTCCCCGTTCTTTTTTCTAAGTTGCAAATTCAGTTTACTATTTAAACCATAGGTCGGGCACATGAGTAATAGTTTCTTATCTTTTCTAAAAAAATAATCCTCCAGTTTACATTGGTGGGTTAAGATGCCTCATGTTAAATTTCAGAACCCTTCCACATCAAGAACGATCAAAACTACGCCGTGCTTTGTTCGATGAATTAGGGCCAGGCAAAAAGGCTCTCAGCGGTCAGTAAAAGCTATAAAGGGACCACATCATCGACGCCCTGGAGACCACTAATATCTTTCCAAGCTAATTAGAAAAGTTGGCCACTGATTCGGTCAGTTGCTAAGTCGGCTTTAATGTTTGTTTATTGTGTCCTGTTTTTGTTTTGTTTTGTTTTACTTATATTTGTCTTGCAAAATACAGGGTGTACTTAAAGTCTGGACGAATAGGCAAAAATGCATATTTTCAAGAAATAAAATTTTCAAAAACATTTTATTAAATTGGGATATTAACAAATTTTCAATATGATTTTCCATCATTTGTGATTCAAATGTTGATGCGATTTGCAAGATACACATGAACTCGGATCAATAAATACACATTGCCATCAATCTTAGCACATTCACTTTTCATGTGTTGTAACAAGTATGCTGCATCTTTGATTTTCATTAAGTACAGCAACTTTAGCATAACCCAGAAAAAGAAGTCAATTATTTCTTCTTTCGACAAAATCATGTTTAATCTGTGGGAACGAATAAAATATAGTTAATTAGATTTCCCGTGTGCCTAGACATTAGGTGGATCGTATAAAAAGTTTATCATTTGTTCGTGTATTAAACATCATTGCCAGTATTTCTGATGTCTATTTGGAAAGATGTATCTGCAACAGTTAAATGTCCTGACCTGCAAACTCGATTTTAATATCTTTCAGACCGCAGTAACGTACCCAGCTTATGCCTTAAAAAAGGTGAAAAAAAATGTACACACCTAACAAGGTGATAAAGCCACTAAGATGCAAAGCGGCTTAACGATAGTGAAACAATATGAGAGAAATCAATACCGAGAAGAGAGGACAATATATGACCAGGGATCAAATAGACGGAAGATTGAACCCCCATTGAAATTTTTGAAATTGTATTTGAAGGAAATGCAAGAAGCCGGGAGAGCGTTTCACAAGCGAAAAATGAAGAAAATGAAACTCGGTTAGGGAGTCATCATTTCCCTACTGAAATAGCTAAATGCAACTGTAAGTTCTATTCTAATATGTCTTTTCTGTTACCATAAAGCAGCTTCCCTGTAACTGTTCAATACATATTTTCATGACAATTGTTTTGAGGAGCTCTTTGAAACCACGGCTTCATGAATTTAAGCCCATTACTAGATCAGCATTACCCTATTGTAATTGTTAAACGTAACCGGAAGTTCTATTCTCTTCCATTGCCGTAAAGCAGCTTCCATGTGACTGCTCTATACATATTTTCATGATAATTGTTTTGATGAGATTCATTTTGTTAACTGGACATATTAAATGTAATCGTTGTACTAGAATAGCTTTTAGGTCTCATCATTTTATCATGGCGAACACGGCTCTCCACAGATTTATCTCTGTGTTGCCATGCAATTTTTTGGTGAAAGATCGTTTTCTTCTTGCTTTCGTTCTCTTCAATTGGTTGCTATTTATTGTTCTATCTAATCTCGCTTGTCGGACTCTCTTCAGTCAACATTGATGTTCGAAAATTTCACTGCATTTTTAATCTTTTTCTTTTGTCTTCTTCATTCCTTTTATCTTTCGTTCACCTTAATAGTTTTTTTTTTGTATTTTTTACACTCAGTAACCGCTTGTGTCTTAGTGACTTTATTGCTTTGCTTTCAGTGATATGTTTAAGAAATATTTCACATAATTTATCCTGATTCATATATTGCAATATGGAGGTAAATTAGTATTTCCGTGGACTGTTTTACACATGAAACATGGCTCCAATTCTAGTCAATCGCTTTATTTAATAGTAAACATTTGAAATAATTTCCATTTAGAAGGATCATTTTATCAAGGCGAAAACGGCTCTCCACAGATAAATCTCTATATATGCATTTTTTTTTGTGTGAAAGATAGTTTTCCACTTGCTTTCGTTCTCTTCAATTGGTTGCTAATGATTGTTCTGTCTAATCTTTTATTTAACTCAAGCTTAACCGGACGGCGAGGTGGATTAACACTTTTGTAAGAATATTTGTGCTAAAGTGAACGCAACAACATAAGCGGGATTTTGAACTTGGTGCACAGATTCAATTTTCCTGGCCAGTGACTGATACGCTACGATGGAAAACAATTGCAGCATCAATATGTCCATGTTTAATAATTAAAAAGTTATTATCTATGGCGTTCAGATTAAATTTATGACACTGTGTCACATGAAATACTTCTCTGGAAAATATAATTTAGTCAGCACAGATTTAAAATAATCGTTTTAGTGCAGACATTCGAGATTTGACAAGATAATTTGATTGCAGGATAAAATCTATCTATCTTTATATATATATATATATATATATATATATATATATATATATATATATATATATATATATATATATATATATATCACAGTTGGGATCAAATACAGATCATATATATATATATATATATATATATATATATATATATATATATATATAGAGAGAGAGAGAGAGAGAGACAGACAGACAGATAGATAGATAGATAGATAGATAGATAGATATGAGTAGGGACCAAGTACATGTCAAATATAAAAAAAAGGTGAAATAATTTTGTTTGATAAACATTTCCTATTTGTTCATTATTTTATCATTCCGTCGGATTTTGATCCATATTTGGTCTGTACGTGATCCCAACTCATATATATATATATATATATATATATATATATATATGTGTGTGTGTGTGTGTGTGTGTGTGTGTGTGTGTAAAAAATATTTTTACAAGATTTTTTAATGCAATCTATTTAAAAAATAATATCATTCATTTGTAAATAAGTCCTGAAAATTTAATTACAATCCGACAATTTTTGCAAGAATTTCCGAATTAATGTATGTCACCGCAAAAAAAAGTGG